CAATTTTATGCACACTATGATTTGGATTTGTATATAACAACCACCTCTGGTTATTGACATTTATATAGATCCAAATTCAATATTTGATAGTATACATTTTCTCATTGTGGGTACTTAATCACATTGTTGCCTGTATTATATATTTTTGTTCAGTACTTCATATGAAGGAAAAAAAATGGTCACTATTTCTTCGGTTCAGTTGTCTAATTGTTTTCTTTTTTTGGGCATAACTTGGTTTAGCTGGTTAACCTTTATTTGCAGCAATTTGAATGAAACATCAGAACCGGTATCACATTACACGTGGCCTCGGTTAATTTGAGAAGAACTTATTTCATCCAATCAGATTATACCTCATCTAGATTCTATCGCCCAGTGGGAAACTTGAAACATCACCAGATAACACAGTGTTCAATGGATAAGGTAGATAGTGTTTTCCACCGTTAGATGGATTTGTCAATCGATCCAACGGTCATGATCGTCTCTCCAAGATCACACAGCCTCCAATGAAAAATCATCTTCACTCATCTATAATCACAGATTAAAGAAAGGATACAGAAGTTTCTTCACTATCTCCTGAATTCACAAAACGCAAACGCTGTGATATAACAAAACGCTGCCCGAGATGGCCGCAACTTCCACCGCCGCTGCAGCTGCTTCTTCGATCATGGGTACTCGGGTAGCTCCCGGTATCTATTCCGGTTCGGGTCGGTTCACTGCCCGGTTTGGTTTCGGAAAGAAGAAGGCAGCTCCCAAAAAGAAGTCGCCGGTGACTACGGACCGGCCTCTTTGGTACCCAGGAGCCAAATCTCCTGAGTGGCTTGATGGTTCCTTGGTTGGAGATTACGGGTTTGATCCTTTTGGTTTAGGTAAACCGGCTGAGTATCTCCAATTCGATATTGATTCACTGGACCAGAATCTGGCTAAGAACTTAGCCGGAGACGTGATCGGAACCCGTACGGAAGAGGCGGATGCTAAATCGACGCCGTTTCAGCCGTACAGTGAAGTGTTCGGAATCCAGAGATTCAGAGAATGTGAGCTGATTCATGGACGCTGGGCTATGCTCGCTACTCTCGGCGCTCTCTCCGTCGAATGGCTCACCGGCGTTACTTGGCAAGACGCCGGAAAGGTATGGCTTCTTCTTCCTCCGCCGCTTTTTTCTCGCCGGAATATTCGATAATCATTTATGAATCAGTACGCAAAGATGCTAATCAGTTAGTATAATAATATGAATTATCGATTAATTGCGTTGCGTTTGCGATTATTTGTGAGTCAAATAGAAATGTAGTGAAAAGACCACTAAAACATAGATGCGTCCGATAAAGTTGTTGATTTTGCGTTTGCGTTTGGCATGTGTTTGTGGTTGAGAGTATAATCAATTTCAGGTGGAGCTGGTAGATGGATCGTCCTACTTGGGACAGCCATTACCTTTCTCGATCTCGACATTGATATGGATCGAGGTGCTAGTGATCGGTTACATCGAGTTCCAACGCAACGCCGAGCTCGACTCGGAGAAGCGTTTGTACCCAGGAGGCAAATTCTTCGACCCGCTAGGTTTAGCGTCTGACCCAGAGAAGAAAGCTCAGCTTCAATTAGCCGAGATCAAGCACGCGCGTCTTGCGATGGTCGCGTTCTTGGGATTCGCGGTTCAAGCGGCTGCAACGGGTAAAGGCCCACTCAACAATTGGGCTACTCATCTCAGTGATCCACTCCACACCACCATCATCGATACCTTCTCCTCTTGAAAATCATCTCTCTCTCTCCATTATCATCATCTGATCGTAAAATGTAATTTTCATTATGACAAAACAAAATTTGGCCGTTATTTGTATAAACAAAGCTATGATGAGACTGAATCGCGTTTTGCGTTTGGAGTTTGAAACTGGTTTGGGCTATTTGTTTTGTTTGGTCTATTTACTTGTTTGGCCCATTACATTATACCGACTTGTTATACAAAATGATAGACACA